ATTTCGTTATCGAACAGCTTATGTCACTGTATCGAGCAAAGTAACGCCATTTACTAATCTATCATTGATAATGATGAACATATTTAAATATATCAGCGTTATGTAACAACATAACGAAGAAATATCGCAATCTAAATTAAATTACATTCTGCTTTGTAATGGGTAAATAGAAATAAAAAACCGTGAAGCGTGTCATTCGATATCTGAATCTCCTTTTAAATGAAAAATCTCTTCGTGTATAAATATCGATTAACACCCACGCTCGTTTCGATCCGAACGACAAATGCGAACTTCTTAGAAGGAGCTAATGATTAAAAAAAGAAAAAAAACTAGTAGAAACTATCCAACAAAGGAAAACGGAAAGGGCAAACAACAAATGATTAAAACACAAATTCACAATCTCATTTTTTATTCTCTTTTTTTCCATACTCAATACTCACAACACTTTTCTTTTTTCCACTTTCACGATAAAAAAAAAAAAAGAACTTCAAAGAAAATTTCTATAACTCACGCACAAATAAAGAAAGAATCGTAAAATTTCTGAAAAAAAAAAAATCCACAATTCGAAAGAAAAAAAGTTTTCCCGATCTTTCTGAATTTAAAAAAGAAAAGATTCAACTACGTCAAAAGAAAAGAAAAGAAAAAAAGAATAATAATAAATCAAGAATTCTACGAGGGAGGAGGGTTGTTTCCTCCCCCAATGGTCCCTTTTATCGAACGGTTTGTCGCGTTTTGATCGTACGCGCTCCAGGCGACGGGCCATTCACTTTCGTTTCGTCGGGGTGGTTGCACGATGCGTCGCGCGAAGGGTAGAGGGCTGAAGAGGGCCGCGCAGCCGCGTTGACCGTTGTCCGGCCGGTGGATCGCGGATTATCCTCGCACCTGCACGATCGAGAGGACCGAGACGTGGGAAGAGGGTTGCAAATTGGTGAATCCGGTTGGAAAACGGCCAAGATAAGGGGATCACGAGTCGCGAACGGGGAGTCCAGTGAGTATATTTCCATCCCCTTTCAGAGAGGGCGGTGTGGAATTTTTATTGCCATGAAAAGAAAAAAAAGTGGTTGGTTGAAAGGAACGTTTAAATCGGAGAGACATGGAAAATAAAATTATGATGGATAAATCGTAACTTACGTCAAGGCCAATTTAAATAAATTTCAACAATCTTTACTTTTAATCAATCTCCAAGTGAAATAATCGTTCAAATCTTGGCAGTTATTCAAATAACGTCGTTTAAAGTTGGACAAATATCTTGTGTCGTGTTATAATTCCTAATTTCTTTCCTTCATTTGAAGTCGTCGATTAGGGGCGAGAAAGAAAGCAAATTGTACATACAAGTTGAAGGAAACGGAAACAGGTGTTCAATGTAAAGTACTCCGTTGCATTATTAATGAATCGGGATCCTCGTGACAATCTTACCGATCGATACTTTCGAACGTGTTCTCCCTATTGCGCCGAGGTTCCATTAAAAATTAATCTCACGCCGTGTCGATTCACAATTCATAATCCAAATCGTATTTATAATCGCACATTCCGCTACGAAACGTCGCAATTACACATTCAAACTTGTTCAAACAACTTCAAACCTCCATCTAATACTCCCATTATATCGATCAAAAATTCTCAAATCTATCCCCGTACCAAAAAATCACCACGAAACAATCCACCAATCGTCTATTCAAACCCTCTCGAACAATCCCAAAACACGTATTCCACGAACGATGATAAACGGCGATAAACGAAATAAGAGACGCGAAATATCGAGTCGCGTGAACGCGGCAAGTCGCAGCGTAATCGATAACACAATATTATGACGTATATATCTATAATGTCCAGCCTACGAGAACCACGCTCTGCAAACGATCCGGAGAAAGCGTTCAACAAGTCGAGGCCAGCGATCCTGGCATTGACACTACTACCGCCAGGTGCTGTATTATTTAACGCGTCGACGATCAATGATGGTTTTTTTTATGGATCGAGTAACTTTTCCGCGGTGACTTCCTTCGTATTTCCACGATGGCGGCGCACTTGGCCGACCTCGTTCGAAGGATAGGCTTGGATAGAGCCGATATCTTCGGATAATACAAGTCCGGCAGGATGCTGGACCGTTTTAGGGCCGCGTTCAAGTGTTCTGTGCCGAAATGTGGCAATTTCCGATTTCCAGGGATGGAGAAACCCGAGTCCTCCACCGGGGATGGGAGCAATGAAGAACTCGAGGACAGGGATCCGAACAGTTTGAACAAACACCTGCAGGTATGTTGAAAATATCAGTTCCTTGAGAATATTTTTTAGAGAGAATTTATTTGGTTGGAGATTAGAAGGGTTTCGTTTGGATAAGAGTGAAACACGCGAACTTGTATAAAATGTACGCCGAATGACCTTTTAATGGTATTTAAAAAAATATTTTTACTTGCCGTGAAGAAGTGTATAATAATAATGTAAACTTTTAAAACGAATCCTCGAATACAGTAAAGATTAAAAAATTCTATCTATGAAATTTTTGGAAAATGCTTGGTTAAGAAAAACATCGAGTGTCATGTTATTATTGTTGGGATACAGGTGATGTGGGATGATGTGATCGGTGAACCGGAAGGAATACGCAGTCCGGAGTGCGCATGGCGGTTGAGCGGACACTGCTTCCGATTATCCAGAAGATGTTGTTACGTGTTCCTCTCCGTCCTGATCGCTCCTTTTCTCTCTCTCTGTCTAGGCCTCACCTTCGCCTGCCTCGCGTTTCAGGTGAGTCGACGACCTTTTTCTCGATTTATGCCCGATCGATGCTGTTCCTAACCTCTCTGCATAGTCGCGAGCAACGTTACAACGATCGTTACGATTATTCTCGACTTGTTGCAAATGTGGGTCGTCGCTTTGTTGCCAAACTTCAACTTGAAAGAAAATTTTTTCTTATTAATTCGAATTCAATTCAAATCTAATCTAATTCAACCTCAATACAAATTTATTCAAATTTTCAAATTTGAATTTAATCCAATTCTAACTTGAATCTAATTTTCCAATTTACGTATTATTATAAAAGTAACGTCCGATTGCAAAAGAAAGGATTAATGGATATAAATTTTTAGCATATTTGGTGTTTGGCACCGTGTCTCCGTGTTTGGAAGATCACTTGTGCCGCGACGAGAAATTTCCTTAGTGTTGTCACGCAAGCCGTCGTGCGTCCCATCATGGAGTCCCTTAGCTATCTGTTTCACAACATTCGAGTATTCAACAAAAAGTTGCCGGATGGTCCTGCGGAGAAAGACGATATCCTCGTGGTGTAAAATTAATAAAATTTTATCAAGTGCCTTTCGAATCGATCTATAATGATCATCATGAAATATTCTATCTTTCTCCTATTTTTCCAGTAACAATCGTTTTCTCACATTTCTATTCCGTGATTGCAATTTTAATTGTTACGGTGTAGAGTTGTAGGTAGTGAAAAATACTGGTTAATCTTTGATCATTAAAATAATAATAATAATAATAATAATAATAATAATATATATATTAGTATTGATTGTTATAAATTTTTGTAAATAAAATACATTCTAAAAACTGTTGTTGTGGATATTATTTATCAACTAATTATATAGAATTCATGTTTTGAAATTTTTTTACGATTATGATATTATGATTTAAAGTTTAAATCTCTCTTCATTGAATGAACTGGTGGTGCTGTTTCCTATTATATATACGTTACTGATATCATACATATAAATTTATATGTAAATTGGATTCTGACGAAACAATTTAACAAAACAAATAAGAACAATCGAGGTATCAAGTTTACCACTTTTATGCGAGGTCAAATTAGCACGAGATAAGATGCGACTCACCAAGATCAACTTAGTTTTCTGTCGACTAGGAACATGGCAGCCTTCACGAGAAGATTTCTACCGAAATACAATGGATTTTCTTGTACAAGTTTGAGACGTATCCTTTTTTTATTTTATTCCGAAAGAAAATGATCGTGATCTTTTTAACCTTTCTTTTACAACACAAATAGATTTTATCTTTGGTTATACGTATTTTTTCAAAAGCACGTGTCATCTGATTTATTTACTACTATTCTTCTTATCAGTGATTCATTCAAATTATCAGAAGTTTCAATATCTAGCAAAGATATAGGTAAGTTTTTAACGATTCTTTAATGACATTTACTTCGTTTCTCACGTAAAATGTTGTATCGTTTGTAAGTTTTCCAATTCGTTACTAGATGGCACCATGTATCGATCATCCAGTGCCACGTGTTTCGAATAATAAAGACACTAAATTTAATTTTTCATTTTATTCAAAAGAAGAATTTGTCCTAACTATCTAATAATTCAAAGCTAATAAATCTCATTCTGAATGTTCAAATTTTATCAATAGTAAACGACCGTACGAGCTTCAACTGGGAAGATCCATTCAATCTCGAGTCTCAACTGACACAGGAGGAAATATTGATCAGAGATCAATTTCGAAGATATTGTGGCGAAAAACTTTTGCCTCGAGTAGTCGAAGCGAATCGCAATGAAATCTTCCACAAAAAGATAATGAGGGAAATGGGCGAATTGGGCGTTCTAGGCTGTACCATAAAGGGTTACGGGGCCGCTGGTGTCTCCTCCGTGGCGTATGGGCTTCTGACAAGGGAACTCGAGTATGTGGACAGCGGATATAGATCCGCTCTGTCGGTACAAACGTCTTTGGTTGCCGGCGCGATCGATGCTCATGGAAACGAAACGCAAAAAGAACAATTCTTGCCGAAATTAAGTACGTGTCTTAACGTTTGAATTAAACGATCCTCTGCAAAAATTTCTCAAATAATTTCATCCACGATTTGATCCACAACTTCTAAAATTTTATTTATTCATTTTCAGTATCAGGCGAGCACATCGGTTGTTTCGGATTAACAGAGCCCGAGCACGGAAGCGATCCCTCTGCCATTGAGACCAACGCGATTTACGATTCCGAAAAAAAAGTTTACAGATTGAGTGGAATCAAGATATGGTCAGCTTTTTAGAATAATTCCAAAAAAAAAAAAGAAATCAAACCATCTTTTTCAATCATCCTTCCTTCGAATCCAGGATCACGAATGCTCCGATCGCTGATATATTGATCATCTGGGCGAAGTGCGTAGATGAGAACAATGAGATGCGAGGATTCATCGTGCAGAGGAAGCCGAACGATAGCCGACTATACACCCCAGTGATCAAGGGTAAATTCTCTCTTAGATGTTCCGCCACAGGTATGATCGTCATGGACGACTTGGAGGTGCCCGAGGAGAATCTGCTCCCACACGTGAGAGGTCTCAGAGTAAGTTTTGAAAGTTTTCGGTGTAACATGGAGCCCTCACCCTTGAAGAAATGCTCGTACAGGGACCGTTCGTCTGTCTGAACAACGCCAGATACGGAATCGCTTGGGGCGCTTTGGGTGCAGCCGAGGCCTGTTTACACATATCTAGAGCATACAGTCTGTTCAGGGAACAGTTCAAAAGGCCACTGGCCGCCAATCAATTGGTACAGAAGAAGTTGGTCGAAATGATGTGCGACATTTCGTTTGGCTTCCAGGCTTGTCTGAGGGTGGGCAGGCTGAAGGACGAGAACAAGTAAGGATCGCAACATTTTGAATTAGAAATCGGATTTTTATGTTGAATATACACGTTACAAAATTTTTTAGAGCCACTCCAGAGATGATCTCGATGATAAAGAAGAATTCTGCCATGAAAGCTCTGGAAATCGCGAGGAACGCTAGAGATCTGTTAGGTGGCAATGGAATATTAGATGAGTATCATGTTATCAGGCACATGATGAATCTGGAAAGTGTCGTCACCTATGAAGGTAACGTAAAAAAAAAAAAAAAAAAAAAAAAAAAAAAAAAA